CACACACACACATATATATAATCTTTCCTTCCAAATTCTTTTCTCTTAAATCCCCATCCCACCCCACCCCCCTCAGTCCAATTTTCAAAGGTATTCTTCTATTGATGATAGTATAGATAGACTTTCAAACGTCAAATTAAGCCCAACAGGATCAAAATAAAAAGACGGGCAGGAATCTTTAGAAAACTCGTAGGTCACAACTGGCGTATCGAGCATTATGGAGAGCTGAAAATGATAGGATGACACGGGAATTCTAGAGGGAGCAACCAGCCACCTCGGTGAAGAAAAACGAGTGCAAAAACAAACAACCCCCAAAAATCAAAACAAAACAAAAGAGGTGGGGCAGATTTGGGTGAGTTCAACTCAACAATAGTAAAGGAACACTTGCGATCATCTGTGTTCAAGGAAGATACTTTTATCATAACTTTATGAGTACAACTCGGGGGAAGAAACAGTTAATAAAACACGAAACCTTCGATAAAATAAATAAATTGAGAGAGTTAAATAATAGATAAACATTTTTTTACGTCTTAGAGACAAGGAGTTGTGCGCTGAGAAGGGCTGAAACATTCGAACCAGAGACAGAGTACATGAGAGCAGTGGCAGTAGTAAATCTTCATTTCTTCGGTCACTTGCGTCCAAACAAGCACTTCAGTCACAGAAACAGAATGCTACTGAAAATATAGTCTAGCAAGCAGTATCAATCATGATTTACCTGTTGCGATTTTCTTTTCCGTTGGCATACTGCTGAAAGAAACCGTCTTTTTACGGTTAGGTCGTCTGTTTCCATCCTTATCCCTATTCATAAGGCTAGATCTCCGTGGTAACACTTGATCCGAAGAATATGTATCCAAATTGCACGTTCCATTTTCCACTCTCTCATCCTCCTCGTCCTCTTCCTCGTCATCTTCGCACACATTATCATCGCGCACAGTATTATCTCCATTTAGAAATACATCCTCCGTTTTATCATCCATTGCGCTTTCTATTCCATTCGTGTTTTCCTCCTCGTCAGCCATGTTTTCAGATCATTCTTGAGAACATTCCATTCAAATCTTGGGATCGAAGTGGTCAGTCAAGGTTGTTTACGGAGGGACTACAATAAGAAAGAGAACGGAAGAATACGACGCACATTGACAAGTTACATTCGCTCTGGGGTTATTTTTCCAACTATCACAATAATTTTAGTCTTCTGAAAAGGAGGCTGAGTGACGGTTCCCTCCAGGAAGCGAACACCCCTGTCGGCAAGATGAACTGATCCGTGACCTTTTGCGCAAGCTGCCCTGTAGCAGTTGTCGACTACCACCACCAACGACCTGTTCTGTGGTTCGGGCACAGACTCTCTCTCTCTCTCTCTCTCTCTCTCTCTCTCTCTCTCTCTCTCTCTCTCTCTCTCTC